AGAGAGAGCATAAGCAGGAGAAGCAGGCTCCCCGCTAAGCAAGGAGCTCGATATGGGACTCAATCCCAGGACGCCGGGATCATGACCCTGGCTGAAGGCAGATGCCCAATGAACTGAGCCACCCAGGCGCCCCCAAATGCTGTATTCTAATAAAATTTTATCTATAAAAAACAGGCAGTTGGCCTTGGCCAACACCTGCCATAGACTCTTGCCCTAAACAGGTGATACTTGAGTTATCTGCCATGCGCCTAACATGGACATAGTTTGTTACTGGGAGCAACAAACTTAACCATTCTGTACCTGAATTTCCCTTTGTGTTGAAAAAGAACACCATTACTTGTCATGTCACTTCCTCATAGAAATTTCAAAAGGACTGATGAGCTAATGTTTCAAAGTACTATGATTTCTTGATGAAGGGCAGGGGAGAAGTATTATTATCAACTGTACCTTTTAAGCTACTGTCATCTGATTATTATTGTACCTGGGAATAGAATGAAGATTCTGATTCATATATGCTATACTGTGGTCTCTCATCCGACAGTCTCCCTTCAAATGATTAATAAAAACCTGTGAGTTGGATGCTAATATTACTCTTTGATATCTTCCAAAGATTAAATGGAAAGAATAAAAGAAACAGATCCTACCACGTTATATACAGATTTTAATATTTTTCCATTTATCATTCATGATTATTCAGCCTTAAAGCCTAAAAATGGAGCATTCTCAAGAAATAGAAGAGATATGTGAGCTATGCCAAAAAACATTAAATTAAGTTGATATAGTTTCTTTATATTTATTTGTTCACCCTTAGGAGAAGCACCATTAAAAGTAAATTCCTTAAACAAAAGACTTTGGAATTAGATGGATGTTAAAATGTGATTTAAAAAACCCAAGGGATAATTAACACTAATTTCATCATTTCTCAGGGATATTAACATAAATTGTCTTTCACATCTTGCCCATCACCAATTATCAACCAATCTTCCACATTTAACAAGTAATTCATTTAGTAGATGTTTTTCTAGTACCCATTATATACAAGGGACTGATAGAAAGGTGGAAAGCTTGTATGTATAACAATAAAAAGTAGTGGAAAGTGTCCTCAGTGTGTTAACAAGCTGTATTCATGAGTTTGAAGGAAAAAAAAAAATGCATTTTGCAGAGTTGATAAGGAAGACTTGTTTCATGACACAAGTGATATTTGAGTTGAGTCAAGAAGACAGGAAAGGGGCAAAGAGCTTTCTAGATGGCCCTAAATACAGACCCCAGCACAGGCACACCACTGTGAGCAATTCAGGTCATGTAAAAGCTTGTTAGTTCAGGATATGACAGTAAATCATGGAAGGCCAAAGGTAATCAGGCTAACAAGTCTGTGTTTAAAGAAAAACCCTTCCAAGGATTTTGAGAGTAGTGGAGTTAGGTTTTTACCCATTCATTCAACAAACATATTTTGAGCCCCGATTATGTGTCAAATATTTTTCTAACCTGTATGGACAAAGCAGTAAGTGAAAAAGATGCAGAAAAAAAAAATCTCTGCCCTCATTTTCACAGGGGAAGACAGACAAAAAACAAAATCGGTAAGTAAATGATACCAAGTATTTGAAGGTTAAATACTACAGATATGCGATTATAAATAAAACAAAAAAGCAATTATAAGCAGGTTGTTTTGGGCAATACTGGAGGTTACATTTGAGCAATGGTTTGAAGTAGGTGAGGGAGCAAGCCAGATAGGTATGTAGAAGAATAGAATTCTAGGCGGAGGAAACACTAATGCAAATGCATTACAGGTCAGAAAAGCAACCTGTGTGGCCAAGAAGAGGACAGAGGCAGATGATGTCCAAGATGCAAGGAGGGCTACAACGCTTAGAGTCTTATAGACGATTATGAGGACTCTGGACTTAGGAATATCAGTCTACCAGCACCAGGCAGAATGCAATGCAGGAGGGAAAGAATTAGTAGAGGCAACATTTGCAAAACTATTTTCCAGGTGAAAAGTTCTGAAACTATTCATTTGATCACTCATTCATTCACATTAATTCAGCACATATTCAGGAAACATTGTGCTAGATATTGACACTAAAACTGTGACTCTGATAGACAAACTTCTCCCACATGAAGTTGGCCCTCTGGTAGAATGATGATAGCATGAATAGAAAGGTTCCACATGTTGATAAGCTTCTAAAACTCTATAGAAATCTAAATTTTATTATGAATCTAATATTGTAAAAGAAAAGGTCCCAAAAGGTCCAACTGTATAAAAAGTCCTTAGTCTACCTCTTAAGTCATTTCTTTAGCAATCACATTTAATGAAATATTCACCAATATTCTTTCCACTCTTATGATTATTTTGAAAAGAATGATTGGATATTGCACATCAAAAGAAATCAAAATATCCAAACAATGAGGAATAAACTAAATCTCTGAGGCTTATCTTTCTACCAATTATGATGAGTCACAATATAGACTACAAACATGATTAATTCAAATATAAGCATTAAAAAAAGATTAATTTAGCAAGCATAAAAGAAGCAAAGACCAGTCCAAAATTACCAAGTTTGTCTGTAACCTAGACAACAGCGTTTTCCAAACAAATTGCTGATGCATGAAGATATTATCATTGGTGGCTGGATGACTGGCTTTAGTACGCCCATAATGATAAATCTGCTGTCACAGAGGACAGATAGGAACTAGTTTCTGCTGTCAAACTGTCATGGAATTATTAAATATAGAGGGGGAAAATGACCCAAACAGTATGTAATGAGCTCCCTTTCATTCTCTCTCTACAAAAGCACATCTGTGGATTGTTAATGACTCTGAAATGGATGAACCAAATTGATGAGAAAGAAAAACATCTTTCAGGGGTAGGAGAAGGGAAAATGAACACACACACACACAATGTTTATAAAATACAATTTAAAATATAAAGGCTTGTGAAAGTACTGTGGAAAACTATAAAGTGGCACACAGATGTAAGCTATTATTACTCATTTCCATATTGCTTGATTGCTTTCTTTGCTTTTCTTTATGTTTCCAATATAGATCATTAATCTTTCAAAATATAGAGAAATACCAAGACTTATTCACAAGTAGTCCATGTGTGTGACTTTCATGAGGTGGCCCTGCCATCCCAAGTCTGGTCCTTTCTATGGTGCTGGATGATTTTCTTCCTAGATGTGCCCTGTGGCCTGTGCACAGCGACTTGAATGTGTATAAGGCTCTCATTATCTCAGTTCACACAGATTTGGTACCAAGTCCTGTGGACTGACTTTTGCTAACTAGAGTCCTTGTGCCACAAAGACTCAGTTGGCCCGGGGTCCCCAGGAAAGCCACACCTTGGCTCAGAGTTATGACTCAATCATGAAACTCCTCAAGCATAGGTCTTGGTGTCATTGATCTTCATACCTCCCTCAATAACCCTGAACTAAGCTGGATGATTTAGAGGGCTGTCAGACAGGAGCAAGCACATTAGACAGAATCATCATGGCATCAACCCATACACTAAAGCCATCATTTTATTTGGTCGTATTTAGTGATACTGAGGTTATCTGTCTTCAGAAATCTCAGAGGTAAAGAATTTCTTACTTGTGCTTTAATACATAAGAAAGTAGTAAAGCAGTAGGAAACCAGGCCTTATTCATTAGTTTAAGGACAGACACAAGTCTGAAAGTAATCAATAATCTGCTTGTTCTCAGGGCAGTATCAGTTAGCTATATCACAAAGGTAATATGGTGTTAAAAAGAAAAAATGACCAATATTTGTAAACATAGAGACATATAATCCTGGAAAGGGAAATCACCTTTAATACTCAGGTTTTCTGACTCAAAGGGAGAACTGTTTGGAACACCACTGTACACAAAGGACTTTATTTGACATAAATATACATTTCAAGTGGGAGTGAGGGGCCATTTGGTACATGATTTGACTCTTTCACATAAGGTAAAAACACTAAGAAAGAAAGAAAAGTGAGAAGTTGAGAAGCCACTGAAGGAAAAATTAAACAGTATATAGTTGATATACATTCACTAGAACCCACTGTGAGAAATACAGAATGCAGTATTATAATGTTTATAAAGAAAAAATATCATTTTAATATATGACATTTACTACAAAACCTCAGATTTAAACATTATTTAAAGTAATCTTTAAAATATAACACACTATCTCTCCACTCACACATATCCATAGGAAATTCATTCTTACACAACCTGTCTATACAGAGCCCAACAAGTATCCTACAGATAGTGTTATAATTTTTCAGTCATGTTTTCTCCACTGCAAAAAAACCGAAAAACAAAAACTCACTTCACTTTTACATAAAATGTATTCACAGACCCAGGCAGTATCATAAGAAGCAGATGAATAGAATAAACAATTAATTGGTGTCACAATTTCCAAATCAATGAACACCTTAACAGTGCAATGAAACCCTTTACCTCCACCCGCCAAGCCCTGAAGGTTATGTGATTAAAAAATCCGTGCCTTTAACCTACTCCTAAGTATTTTTATTCCACACCACCCCACTCGATTGGCTAAACGACTAGGCAACAAGGTCAATCAAATGCAATACTTCTCTCTATTCAAATATAATGGAAATTTTGACCATTCCACATTCAAAGAGCAAATACATTCTCACACTGACAACCACATTCCATTGGCTTTTCCTGAAAGCAAAGTGTGACAGATGTCTTGGCTGTAATTGCCAATCAGCCTTTACATGGCAGCTGAAAACACAATACATCACTTTGATCTCCTTTGTTCTAAACACATCCACAATCAAGAAACCTGAACAAGGAATAAGAAATTGGCATCACTTCCAGAAGCTGTCACTCCATGGCACTTAAATGCTATAATATATATTTTGCTCATATTTTTATTTCTCTGTTTCAGAGACACTCTGTCGAAGACCTGAACAAAAATCTCCTACACTCACATATGATACATATATATTTAAAGAACTACTTGGAGCACACATTTTATGGGTTCCCAAGGGCTGTACTCACATTTTGCTGGCAGGTCGTAGCCACATGTGATTTTTGCATGTCCAGTTTCACAGCCATTCAGGTTACGGCATTCAGCCAGTAAACAGGGCCCAGCTGCTCTGTGAATACAGCCATCCACTAGGGGAGAGAGAAAAAAGTTAGCTCGTTTTGTCCTTTTGGAAGTAAATGCAAAACCCGAGACAGGAAGATAAAAGGAACTCAATTTGTTCCTCTTGAAAATCACCGTGTCTCATGGAAGAAAACCCGTGACGTCCAATCCTTCAAACACTATATTTTCGTGTGTGTGTGTGTGTGTGTGTGTGTGTGTGTGTGTGTGTGGTGAGCAGAGGTAGAAGGGTTACAGAAGTCATGCAGTGTGCTGGTAAACATTAAGCGGCAGTTTCTCTTGGGATGGGGGAATCCCTGATTTGCCATTTCCACTCCCAATTGTGTAAATATCCCCACCATGCCCAATTTCATACTATCAACTTGAGGTCACTGAACACAGGGTGCGAATGAAATGCTAACAATTCTGTCTCCCAAGCTGGTAAGTATTGTGTCTGACATACCACAGGTTATAGAAGAAAAAGGTCGAGAAGAAAGTGAGCACAGCACTCTAAAACATCCATATTCACCTCAAAACGAAGAATAGAATTAAAACCATTAAAAAAAGAACCAGACCTCCGAGTTCCCCCTCGCCCGCCCAACAGCAGGACACAAACACAGCTGTGTTTCTGCAGCTGACAGGGCACTAGATGATAGGCAAGGGTAGCTTGGGTCTTAGTAAACGCCCATAAAACCACCCTCACTCACCTGACAGCAACTAAGCCAAGAACTTGAGCTGTTCCTGCCCTTGCTCCACAAATTGAACAGCTTCCTTCCTTTCACCAACCTGAAGTCTCATCAGTCCTCTGGCCTCTGCATCCTTCCCCTTCACATCTGGCCTACACAGTGAGACTCACCTTTCAAAAACACAAATCTGATGCTGTTGGAAATTAAGACTTTATATGACTGGATGGGGCGGGCGTGAGTGCACAGATGGGAAGGCTCAAAGATCATATGCACATACATTAGGAAATTGAAAACTTGGGTTCTTAGTTGTTGTTGAATGGACCTCTTGGACTGAAAGGAAATGCAAGATTGTTAAATGAAGGGTAAAGTGAGAAAGAGGTAGAGAGTAAGAGTAAGTTGGGATGTGAAAATAAACCAGGATATTAAGAGATCTGAAGATGTCCCCCTCTCTCCACAGTCCACAACACCATGGAATTGACCCAGAGAATCCTCAGTGTTCCAATGCTCATTCTTTCACTGTTCAGTCATACACATACTCACACATACAATTTTTCTCTTCCAAAAAAAGCTTAATAAATTTTGTTCAAACTCTTTCACATAGCAATTCTACTTTTTAAAAAAAAATATTCTATGGAATAATTAACACAAGTGCAAAACCTACAACTCTAAGAATGTCAAGTTGTTTATAATAGTGGAAACTTGGAACTTCTCAGAGAGCTAGTTAGATAAATCAAAATCCATCAGTGCAATACTATTATGCAGCTGCTAAAAAGAATGGGCCAACTCTGTATGTAAATAGTCCTAAACATGGAAAGATTTCGAAATGAAATGTCAGGTTTAGAAGAGTACATAAATCATGCAGTCACAGTTTTGCTTACAAAGTTACACACACACACACACACACACACACACACACACACACGCACCCCAAAGATATACCAAAATATAAAAAGTGATCATGAGATGGGAAACAGAGGGTGAGACTATTAGGAAAAAAATTAGGCCCTAATTTATGTTTGAATTTTTTTTTACAAGAGCATCAAAAGAAGTATTTTAAACTGAAAAATTTTTCTTGGCAAAGAGATAATTAGTTACTTAGTTTGAAATGGATATTTAAAATAGGATTTGCTAGTGTATTTAATCATATGCTGTCAAATATTGTCTACATTATTTAGATGGCAGTATAATGCAGTTTGTAGATATCTAATTCTCAAAATCTTCACGTTATACTAGCATTCATGACTGCATTAGATCAATGAAAAAACGGCCAAAGAGCTATTTAATAATAATGACTTCAGCTTAAATTTCTTGAGTGCATCTATATGCCAGCCACTATACTCAGGACAACGTTACCAGCAGATACTAATTTTATCATCTGCGTTTTATAGAGGCTTAAAAGACATTAGTAACCTACCAATGTTCACAAAATACTGGCAATACGATTCAAAACCTTACCATACCCTGACCCACTATAATTCACTGCCTTTAGGACCTGAATCCAGGTAGTCTTACCTCAATCCCTGCATGTCGTATGTTGAACCACCACATTACATTGCCTGTCAGTTCCCATCAATTCTACTTATGAGTTGTAATGGTCATACAGTCACATGCACAGATCTCAAATGTGCAGTTTTGATGAGTATATACATAACAAAGGTATATACTCATGCAACCATGATACCAATAAAAATGCAAAATGTTTTCCGTCAACCCAAAAAGTTCTCCTGTGCCCTTTCCATCCAATTTCCCTTCTCACCCCACAGAGAGAGCCCCTTTTCTGATTTCAATCAGCCTAACTACGTTTTGCCTGTTACATAACTTCAAACTTCATATAAGAGATGGAGGATAGGGGCTAGCTTCTTTTACCCAGCTTATTTTTGAGATTCATCTGTGTTGTTGCATGCAATTCTACTTCATTCCTCTTTATTCCCAAGTGATATTCCACGGTTAAAAATACCATAATTGATTTATCCTTCATCTATAAATAGGCAGTGGTATATTTACAGTTTTTAGCTATTGTGAATAAATCTGCATACTTTACAAGTCCTTTTGTGCTATATGTTCTTATTCCCATTGGACAAATAACTATTAATAAAATTGCTGGGTCAGGATATATTCTACTTTATAAAGAACTAATATACAGCTTTCCTAAATGATTATACCAATTTACATGCACCCACAGCAAAGTGTGAGAGTTCAAGTTTTGACAATCCTTTGGTGTTGTCAGCCTTTTTAATTTTAGCAATTCTAATGGATATAAAGGGGTATCTCACTGTGATTTCAATTTGCATTTCCCTGATGATTAATGATGTTAAGTATCTTGCCAAGTGCTTCTTGGTCATTCATATATATTCTTTTTGGAAGTGTCTGCTCATGTCTTTTGCTAATTTTTATTGTCTTTTTTTATTACTGAGTTGTGTTAAATCTGCTATTAGCTCCATCTAATTTTTCTTTTTAATTTCAGAGATGTATTTTTTAGATCTTGAGATTTGCCTTTGGTTCTTTTTCTTACAGTTTTCATATCACTCCTGAATTTTCCCATCTCCTCACCCATCTTTTCATGAAAATGCCTTCACAGATTCTGCATAGTGATTTTAACATCCTATCTGACAATTCCAGTGTCTGTCAGCTATGAGTTTGTTTATATTGACTGCTTTTTCCCCATGACTCTGGGTCACATTTTCTTGTTCCTTTGCATGTCCAGTAATTACTGATGACATATAAACACTGTAAAGACGTTGTAAAGGCTTTAAATTATATTATCTTCCTCCAAACATCATTGAAGTTTGCTCCTACGAACAGATTACTGCCAGGTAACAGGGAGGCCTAAGTTTAGGCTTTGTTAAGGCAGGTTTATTCCAGTTTTCCTTTACTTCTAGGATGTGGTCTTTACTCCTAAAGCATGAAACTTCCAGAGTTTCAATGGAAGACCCAAGTGTTCGTCAATTCCCTCTAACTCGATGGAGCTAAAATTCTGAACTCTATATTCCTGAAGTGAGAAACTGAATGTTCTGCTCAGTTCTTTCAGCCTTCTGGCTCTCGTTTACTTCCTGGGCTCCTTGGACTCTTTATCTGTATGTACATGGACAGTTTAAGGCTCTGCCAAAGATTATAGGTATTCATTTACAGATTTGGGGGCTCCCTCCTCTGTGACTCTCTCCCTTCAGGAATCCTAATCTCAATTCCTAGTCATTCTGACAACACTGAATTCAGTCCTATGATGCCTAAAACCGATAAAACTACTGTTTTTTTCCTTTGAGCCCTATCAGCCACTTCCCATGTGGGGCACAGAGGGCCTGTGGGGTCAAAGCTATTTAAATGTGGATCTTACCCAGTGTGGTTTCCTTCTTTGGAAGGTAGAATCCTTTTTAGTTTCAGCTTGCTTTTAGTTGCTGTCTAGTGCCAATAAACAGTTCCTGACGTTGCTTTTATATTTTGTCAAGAATTTTAAATTACTATTGGTAGGAAGTCTACTCTGATACAAGCTAGGCTGTCATTATCAGAAGCTGGAAGTAGACGCTGCATTTTCTATTGGCTAAAACATGGTATCATATTATTTTAGAGCTGTATGTGGCCTTTGGAAAAAGTACATGGGAGAAAAAAGGAAATGGTATTATCTATTGTATCAATTCTGTACTTAAGAGTTGGTTGTTGTGTCTTTGAAAGACAAAAAATAAATAAATAATGTCTCTATATGTATAAACTCAGTATGAGATTTTAAAATTCTCTAACCTATTGTCAATTCTTTTGCTCGACTTATTTTTCCTAAAATGCAAATCTGATTTCATCACTTCCATACTAAAGTAGTGTTTGCTATTTCCCATATCTTACATTATAAACCCCTTAATTACAAATTATGGTCTCTTAGACCCTTCATAAATGTGGTTCCAACTTAACCTCCCAACCTAACATCATCCCACTCTCACTCCCTTGGCATCATGTAATCTGACACATCTAAATCTTTACCATTCCCTAAACACAACACGACTTCCTTTGCAAAGTGCTCTCCACCCAGAATATCCAGCTACCCCTCGCCTGTTTCCTGCCTAGCAAGGTCTTTCTCACTGTTCCACTTCCAGTTCCAATGTTTCCTCCCCTAAAAAGCCATTCACAACATTTACAGGACACAATAATGTCTTTTTATGTTCCCATATTCTGGTGTGTACCCTTATTTTCATACTTACAAATTGTTTTATAGCTCTTGTATAAACACAGCAGACTGGTTATATGTTAGCAAGTCTCTCTTGCTTTAGTCATTCAGCTCCTTGAAGGTACAGGAGGTGGCTTATTCTTGTTGTATCCCTCGTTATCTTTTTTTAAAAGACTGTATTTATTTATTTGAGAGA